CTAATGACGTTTAGCAAGTTTTTTATGTGGGCTTTATTGGCCATCTATAGATCTTCTTTTCTGAAATGTTGGTCAAATCTGTGACATGGGGAGCTGGGACCAACAGTGTATGCCTATAATCCCAGCTAGGAGGCTGAAACAAGAAGATCTCTTGAGCCTAGGCATTTGAAGCCAGACTGGGCAACATAACCCTTTCTCCAAAAAGAAAAGAGAAGGGCCAGGGATTTAGCTCAGTGGCATCACACCTGCCTTGAAAGCACAAGGTCCTGAGTTCGATCCCCAGTACCAGGAAAAAAAGAAAAGAGAAACATTGGCATTGGAAGATTAATGATGCAACCGTGGAAGGGGTCTCTTCAGCAGAGTATGTTAGTTTACCTTTCCTATCATAGACTGAGTGGGATTCTAGTGAGGTGCTGTAAGGGCTTCCCGCTGCCTCCCCATCGGCCATGCCTTCTGGGGCTCTCCCTTCAACCCGAGCCATAGACACTGACCTCCTGTCCCCTCCCCCCAATTTCCCTCACCTAGGCCACAGTGAGCCCTCACCTCCTACTTCCTGGCCTAGAAATCAACTCAATTATTTCCCTGAGCTGGGAGACATGTAAACAAACAAATGAATAATTCAACAAGAACCCAAAGCATCAAAACCTGGGGGCAACACATCGTGATAATAACAGGGCGTGTGTGGGAAGTGCAGAGGTTTACAGGTTTACGACATGTTTTTGTAGATAATTTATGTTTATCTTCAAAACAAAGTCCTGGGGCATCATTATCAGTGCCACTTACAGAGGGGGAAATGAGGGCTCAGGGAGGCTGCAAGAGTTGTGCATGCTCCTCCCCTGCGGCTGGGGCTGGGACTCACAGGCAACACCACAGGGACACCCAGGCTCTGCCATCACAGAAGTGTGTGGGGATGGAGAGGGAGAGTGGGCCAGGGAGCTGGAGACCCCGGACTCTTCACCCTCAGGGTGCCATCCCTGGCTAGCTCAGGACACAGGCAGCCCTCTCCTTGGTGGATCAGAAGAGCCCTTCACGGACCCCACCAAAATCTGCTTCCTTGGGCACAAGTGCCTCAGTTTCCCTCATCCTTCATCCCCTCCTAGTTAGGGTGGTGCTTCTTCTTCTTTTGGGAGGCGATGGTTTTGGATTTTTGAGTCAAGGCCTCACTATGTAGTCCAGGCTGGCTTCCAACTCACAGCAATCCTCCTGCCTCAGCCTCCTGAGCACTGGGATTAGAGGTGTGCAGTACATGTGGCTACTCTTGACACTGCAAAGTTAAGAAGTTCTTTGGGCAGTGCCCCTGCCTGCCCCACTGAGGCAGCCTGACTGAAAAACCTGTAACTACAGCTGAGGACATTTCAATGATGGAGAAAACAGGCACCCTCTCTCCTCATACTGCCCTTGTCAATATGAAAACAACTGACAACCAGGTCTTCAATTGAAATTCTGGGCCTGCCCTCCATGAAGGACTTCTCCTGTTTGCTAATCGCAATACCGGAGGAGAAAATGCACTTTGAAAGCCACCTTAAAACACAGGATTGCCAGACATGGCAATACATTCCTGCAATCCCAGCTACTTGGGAGGCTGAGGCAGAAGGATGGCAAATTCAAGGCCAGCCTGGGCAAGACTTTGTCTCAAAATTGCAAAAAGTAAGAGACAGGAGGCTGGCCTGGGGTACACAGTGAGTTCAAGATCAGATTCTTGTGAGACGGAGCTGATACTTAAACATCCAGTGGGCCAGCAGGGTATAGGAGTTGAGAGTCAGGCTTTGCAACAAACCTAGGCCCATGCCCTGTGCTGGTGATCTACTGGGCCTACTCTACAAGTTCAGTGCATCTTAGCCACATTATCATTATTGATGGAGAAAATAGAGAGCAACAAAAAGGCACTATGAGTGTATTTTACTCATTGTTCATTTGCATTTTTTTTAAGCTTACAATTCACTCTGAACCATTTGCATTTTTCAATGAATTGCCTTGCAAATCATTGGTTCAGAGCACTGTATGAAGAGCATCGCTCTGGAAGCACATGGACCTGGGTTCAACCCTGGCTCTGCCTCAGGTTTACTTTTGGTCCTTAACAGGTTGGGGGACTTCTCCGAATCTCAGTTTCCTCAAATCTAAAACAACAACACCTAATTCACAGGGCTACTGGAAACTGAGTGATACAATGTCCAGGGGAAACTGGGATTTGAAGGGTGTCACGTTTTTGTTTGTTTTCTCACTGACCAAACAGAATAATTGTCATATTTGAAAACAATTATTTAAGTTGCAAAGGGTGTGGATTTAAGGTCCTCATATGTAGAAGAGCTCAGAGCCCCACTTCTGAAAGCAGGGAGGGAAATAAAACCCACTTCGTGTTCAACAGCACTTTAAATGCTTTATTACCATCTATCTTCTCCAGGAGCACCTGGGGAGAGCATCAGCCTCCACCCCACACTCTTTTAATGTTTAATTCTTTCCCTATGCCTTCTTCCTCCTTCCTGAAACTTTCTCATTGCACTTAAGCCTAGAACATCCCTGCCCACCTCCCTGAATGCTAAGCTCGGAGCCACTTAAAGGCATCTGTGCTGCCAGCAGGAAGGCACAAGTGACAGACATGAGTGCCCTGAGACAAGGCAGAGGTCTGCTTCAGGTGGACGTGTGCTCCTAGGAGCTGCAGCCATTGCAGGAGCTGGAAAGTCATTTGTTTCCGTGCCTTTGACTTCCTGTCTCCAGGTGGATGTAGAAGGGATTATGTGCAGGCTTAGAAACTTCTCAGACTTGTGGAAATGTGGCCAAACTTCTTCCCCTCTGGGAAATGTGCTTTGCCTATTTCAGGACTATCCTCACCAGGTGTGGTGCCCATACCGGTAATCCCATCACTCAGGAGGCTGGGGCAAGATGATCACCTCAGTTTAAAGCCAGCCTGGGATACATAGTGAGGTCCAGGCCAACCTGAACCACATAGTGAGACCCTGTCTCAAAAAACCAAAAAAAAAAGTCCTTCTAATTTCCTTTTTCTGGGGCTATGCAAGGTGTTTCATCTCTTCCTTTGGCCGTGAGCGAGAAGAAAGATGTCTATCCCTGAAGAAATTTTCATCCCTAGCCGAATCCTCTTTTCCCATCTGCTCGGAAAGTCTGGAAAATGACCACCCTACTGGCTACTCCTGGCTTTGAACTGCTCTCCTAGAGAAGGGACCTGGTCTATGTCAGAGCTGAAATTGGAGCACAGAGCCTAGCTGACCCTTTGAGGACATGTGACATGGAGTCTGGGGATCATGTGACACTGAAGGTGGAAACTCCTCATTTCAGGCAAACCACCAACCCAGGAACAAAAGCTGCCAGTATTTTCTGTTTACTCACCTTTTAAAGGGTAATCTTAGTGTTACCAGATGGAGGGTCCCTTGGGGCTTTTTTCCAGGTTCTTGGGGTCCCAAACAGAGAACTGGACAAAACACACAGAAAAGAGAATAAAAGTACACATTTATTGAAGGCTGAAGAGAAGTTCACACTGCAGAGTGAAAGGAGACTGGAGAAAAAGTCCCCTAAGATAAGAGAAAGTAGTTTTTTGTATCCAAAATTCCTCATTTATCTTTCTTTTATGTAAATGAGGCATTGGGGCAATTAAGCTATAAAATGCTCACTTGGCATCATGCCCTATATAACTGTCCTATCAAAAAACTCATTTGGGGGCTGGGGATTTAGCTCAGTGGTTTCGCCACCTGCTGTGCAAGCACAAGGACCTGAGTTTGATCCCCGGTACCAAAAAAAAAAACTCATTTGGCTTCTTGTTACATGTAAATGAAGGATCAGAAATAGTGTCTTTTGATTGGCTGTGCCCACATGCAAACAAAGGATTGAAAAGAGCATTTTCTGATTGGTCCTGTGAATAGCACCAGATTTAAATGAAAGGACTGAAAGTAGCCAGTTTCTGATCAGTCCAAAGTAGCATGTTTCTGATTGGTTCTGTGTACAGTGGCAATGGTTCACTGTATTGGGAGTGTCCCTCACCCTGTTTCCCTGTCTTATTAGCATAACTTTAGGTATTCAGAAACAATCCACCAAATAGATGCCTCCAGTGCAACCTGGGGGTTCATTTGACAAATTAATTACTTGTGGTTAATAAACATGTTGAAGTCCTCTCATTAAAGGGCCCACCTAAATCCAAAGAACTATTATAGTCAGGTCTAATGAGGTCAGTGGTTTTAAAGAGAGTGCTATAAACCATATATAAAGCTCCTTTACCAACCTTTGGTACTGGAGGAGGGTAGGAGGAGGCAGGTAAGTTTGCATGCTAGTGAGTGACCACTTCCCCCATAGGTTTCTCGGTTGAAGGAGAGAGACAGTGACCTGGTGACTAGTGGATTCTCCAACTGTTACACCTGTGCCATAGGACAAAGGCCACCACTCTGTACCACTCTGTAAATCTTTTTCTTTTTTTCTTTACATCTTGACCTACAGGTTGCTGCTACAGAGGACCTTCTCAAAGGGAGAGGGAATATTTTCTCTGGAAAGTTGCAAACAGGTAAGTGCTGGCTTTCTTGTGTCTTGTAAGCCTTATAAGCTGTCTTTAGAATGAAACCAAGAATAGAGTACAACAAACTTCTTTTAAGTGTGTGGGGGTAACGTACATAAGATGTGGACGGGCTGGGTCAGGATGAACTGAGTTGGGAGTTTACACTTTGAGCTGGAAAATGGGTATTGAATTTTGGAAATGATGCTACACTTTTTTTTTTGGTACCAGGGATTGAACTCGGGACCTAGCGCTTGCAAGGCAGGCGGCAGCGGCACCACTGAGCTAAATCCCCAGCCCGACTCTACACTTTTTTTTCTTTTTGTCACCCAGGATCGAACTCAGGTCCTTGCGCTTGCACAGCAGGTGGCAAAACTATTGAGCTAAATCCCCGGCCCTCTACACTTTTTTTTTTTAATAATCAAAGCAACATTCAGAAAGCAAGTTTTGAAATTAATGAATTTCTATTTAAAATCACAACAGGTCCTGAAGGGTAAGATTCACCACCATGCTGCCCTCTATCCTGTTTGTGGGACTTACTGCTCTCATCGGTGAGTCCTCCGGCATTTATCACTGTTCACTGGGTGTCAAAAAAAAAAAAAGCAGTGATTCCATACAGTAGAAGAGTGGGCTCTTCTGACCCTCATGGCCATGAATCAACTGCTTATTTCTGTAAATAAGACTGCATTCTGCTTGTCAAGCAGATGGAGACATGAGTGGAAATTTAAAATAATAGCAATTGATCTCCTCACTTCTGGTCTGATGGTGCACCAATGCAGTTTTGAACCTTTGCCTTGTAATGAAGGCTGGTAGAAGAGCTTCAGATATGGTTCAATGCTCTCTGTAAACCACTGACCTAAGAGATCTATGGAGCGGTGTCTTGGGAGGCAAGACTATGAAAAGAAAAGTCATCAATGCCAGGCAATAGATAAGAGTTAAATGTACATATAGAGGAAAAAAATCCACTGGATTTGGGAGATCCTACTAAGAGGTCCACACCACAATGGCTTTCTGGGAGGATATAAAGTTGGAGTGCTCAGTGATTACTGTGACAAGGGAAGAGCCTGCTGTGTGGGAGGAATGAGCAGTAAAAGACACAGCAACACACAAAAAGTGTTTGGGACACAGTGAGTGTGTCAGTGTGACCAGAACAGGGAGAGGCTTTTGGGGGTTGTTTTTTTTTTGGTACTGGGGATGGAGCTCAGGTTGCAAGGCGATTGCAAGGCAGGTGGTGGATCCAATGAACTAAATCCCCGGCCCGGGACAGGGTATTTCTTTCTTTCTTTCTTTCTTTTTTTCTTTTAGTACTGCGGATTGAACTTGGGTCCTTGCACTTGCGCAGCGGGCGGCAAAACCACTGAGCTAAATCCCCAGCCCTGGAGAGGGTATTTCTAAGGGGAATGCTGGACAGGTGTGGTGACACACGCCTACAATCCCAGCACTAGGAAGGCTGAGGCAGGAAGATTGTCATGAGTTTGAGGCCAGCCTGGATTACAAGGCAAAACTCTGTTTCAAAACACAAATCAATCAATCAATCAGTCAATCAATCAATAAATGATGGTGGTGGCTGGAGGCTGGAAACATAAGTTGGTGAAATGATAAGAGACCTTGAAAAAGAAAAGGTCAAACCTTTATCTGAAGAAAAGCAAGAGTCATTATAAGCAATGATCAAGCTATCTTATTTATGCAGTGATGAATGAGAAGAAAACATTTCTAAAATGTTCAATTCTAAATTTGGAAAAGAGAGGCTACCTAAAAGCAATAATTTCCAGTTACTATAATCAAAAGCAGGGCAACATAGTCTTACTTTTTTACTGATTTCTAATTGCCAGGTAGTAGCAGAGTTACACTGCCAGTGGATTAATTATGAGTTTCTACTGAAAGGTGACTCTAATTGTAAAAGGGCTTATCATGTTGAGGACACCATAAACACCAGGAAGTCATAGTTACACTGTATTGTTTTATTTGTTTGTTTTTGTTTTTGCAATGCTGGGACCAAATCCAGGGTTTTGTCATGCTAGGCAAGTGCTCTACCACTGAGCGGCACCCCCAGCCTTATGCTGAGTTATTTGGGAACTAAGGATGATTTAGGGACCAGTGTTTGTGAACAGTGCTTATGTCATTGTTCCCCCAGATATTTTGGATACATGAGTGGTTGAATCCCTAGAAACAGAGCTTGCAGACAAGCAGGGCTGAATGTGTTTCCTACCCACACTGTGGGCACAAGGGTAGGCCCCGTGTGGGATGGTTTCTGCTCTGTGGATCTTGTGGAAACCTACACTTTTTTTTTCCCCATTAAGTTTATTGGTACATTTTAGGTATACAGTACAGTTACTTTCATCACTGGGATCTTGTACCTTTACATGAATCTTGGTTCTTATTTTTTCCCCCTTTCCCTACCCTCCTTTCACCCCCTCCATCCCTCCCTATTTACAAAGACTTTGTTTCCTTTTTTTTCCTTTTCTCATATTTTTTTCTTTCCCCTTTCCTTTCCCCTACCCCTCCCACTTCCCCTATCCCTTTAGACCTTTTCTTCCTATTTCACAGTATCAATTATACATTTTGATCCTTACACTTTAAGTTTTTACACTAGAGAAACTATTCAGTATTTACACATATGTGTCCTATTTATTTCACTTAAGACTATGGCCTCAATGTGCATCCACTTAGCTATAAATGTCTGTAATATCTCATTCTTTATGGCTGAGTAGTACTCCACTTTATAAAAAAAAATCACATCTTCTTTATCCAGTATCCGGCTGATGGGCAAGGAAACCCATACTTCTTAGAGAGCATAGGGGCTTTGCGGGTTTCTGCTGCTTTTATCATTTAGGCAGACTTTCTCAGTATCTTCTGTGTTCATGATAGTTTAACTGTCTAACTTTCTGGTTCATTCACAATTCCTTTTTTTTTTGTTTGTGGATGGAAGAGAACAGGTTGGGCCTATATTTTTATTTGTTTTGATGAGTTTTGCTTTTTGAAAAGTTACATACTTTAAAATTTTTAAATCTTCAGAGTTACTTTGTTTTCTGTGTAAAATAAATACTTTAGGGAAGAATTCCATTTGTTTTTTCCTCCAAGTTTTGGATTTTAAAATAATCTTTATTAGTAAGTATTTGCAGTACATGATGATTACATTCATCATGAGGAGTTGGTACATATACATAACATATCTTAATTCTTTGTACTTCCATTTGTTATATGTCTAATTCTAAAATATACAGTCAAGGGCTGTACCACAGAACTACAGTCCTAGTTCTGGTAACCCTTTTTACATCAAATATTTTAACAAAGTTAGTTAAAAATTTATGAGCCAGGTATGGTGGTGCATACCTGTGATCCCAGCACTTGGGAGGCAGAGGCAGGAGGGTCCATCGCTGTGGGTTCAAGGCCAGCCTTGGCTTATAATCAGTTTAAGGCCAGTAAGACCTAGTCTCAAAAAAAAAAAAAGACCAGCAAATATGTTTGGGACCTATACGAGTTGATTTCCATAACATTTTGCATGGTGCTTTAGAATTAAGAGCTGTATTTAAAACACAGCACAACAAAAAGTATTTGGAGAGGGTGGGAAGGATGCACTCTTTTGACTGAAGAGCCAAGAGTGGTGAAAGAGGGTGTGAGAAGGACCAAGTCTGTGGCCCTGGGCTTTGGTTTAGTAGTGGTTTTGGTTTTGTTTGTTTGTAGTTTTTTAATAGCTCAAGCAATATTTTGTCACAGGCTTCATGCAAGTTATCCTTCTGCCTCCTAGGCATGAGCTGGGGCTCCTACCCTTTCCCTCACTCCCTTCGGCCTCACCTGCACCCCCGCCTATACCACGGCTGCTATGGGGACATCATGACCATGGAGACCTCCGGGGTGCGCTGCGACATCTCCAATCTGCTCAGCTGTGGTGAGTGGGAAACAGCTAATGTTTGGCCTCCACCTTTCATCAGCTTCTTTCTTAGGAAGTAACTTAATTATGAAAGATGTCATCATTATAACAACAGTTATATCAAAATTAAAAGTTAAAGAAAATACAATTCAGCCTCCCAGCACTGTGGGAGGCTGAATCAGGAGGATCGCAAGTTTGAGCCCAACCTGGGAAACTCAGCAACTTAGCAAGACCCTATCTCAAAAAATAAAAACTAAAAAAGGGGCTGGGGATATAGCTCAGAGATTTGTTACCAGGCTTTGGGATGCTGGGATTCTACTTCTAGAGGTGATTTCTAGGTTCTTTCTGTCCCAAATAAGGAATGGAACAAACAAGCATAAACAGTGGCAAAGGTTCACATTTATTGAAGTAGGCAAAAACAGGCTCTGCAGAGCGAGTTTGGGCCAAGCACAAGTAGGGGAAGGGGGTGGGATACACTCTACAGAATAGGGTGGGCTATCATGAAGAGACAGGATAGCAAAGGCTTAATGGCCACATATACCCCAGGAAGATGTCACATCCAGGTCACTCAAAAACCTGCCCAAGTCCCATGAAGGGCTTTAGAACAGTTCTGTGCATGTGTCCTGGGATTACTAGGTCATACCTACTTTCTCAGTTTTAGCTCACCCTACCTTCCTGCCTCAGGTTCAATCACCAGCACAAAAAAAAAAAGAAAGAAAAGAAGAAGCCTGTTCAACCAAACAAATCATTTCTTTTCATTTTCCACCATCCATTTGATTTGAGGTTTTTGTTTTTGTTTTTTTTCTTTTTTGGTACTAGAGATAGGAGCTTGTGCTTTTCAGACAGGTGTGGCACCACTGAGCTACATCCCCAGTCCTTGATTTGGTTTTATGAGACAGGGTCTCACTGTGTAGTTCAGGCTGGCCCTGAGCTCACTATGTAGCCCAGGCTGGCCGTGAACTCACGGGAATCCTCCTGCCTCAGCCTCCCGAGTGCTGGGATTACAGGCATGCACCACCATGCCTGGCTACACACATACTTTAAGCAAGCCTCCTGCACTTTGTACTCCTGCTCCTTGGTGACCCTGCTCCAAAAGGCTTCTTCCTGGTGCTACCCTATAGGAGCAGGTCAGAGCTGGACAGAGCTATGAGGTCACCACACTGCCCCTCTCTGGACAGATCTGAGCACTGAGGTTCAAGCCTCCCTGGCAAAGAGCTAGGTGCTAGCAGAGCAGGGCTACAACTCAGATCAGCAGCTCCTGGCCCAGAGCCATCCCAAAGCATAAAGAGGAAGGAGAAACAGTGGAAGCAGTTCCAGCCAGAAGCCTTGGACCTGTCTGGTTTCTACAGTCAGGGCTGAGAAGGGCATCTTGGGATGGTTGTCCAGGCTGTAGGCAGTGGCAGCAGTCAGGGCTGTGGCTAATTTTAGTAAACTTTGAAAAAGGGCCCTCAGAGCTGGGTCTGGTGGTGTATACCTGTAATCCCAGGGACTGGGAGGCTGAGGCAGGAGGATCACAGTGAGTTCAAGGCCAGCCTGGGCTACATAGTGAGACCCTGTCTCAAAAAGCCAGAAACCCAGAAAATGTGGTTTTTAAATAAAATGGAGTACTACTCAGCCATAAAAAATGAGAAATTAGAGACATTTATAGCTAAATGGATGCACATTGA